CATAGACACACAAGCATGTGGGTGCATGAGAATAAGGTCTAGAGGTTTCAAAGGTTCACAACCAAGAATAATTTCAAAGGGTTTTAGACCTAAACACCAGTTCACTGGATCGTTATATGCAATTTGAACAATTGGAGGGATCAAGTCCAAATTCCTAAGATTTTTCTGGATTAGAGACTGTAACAAATTGTCAGGATTTTGGTTAGCACTTTTGTTTTGACCATCAATTTGAGGTTGGTCAGTGGTGGATAATTTTGCCTTAGTGTTAACCACAGGTGACTGGAGTTTCCAAGGATGACTGGTGATATCATCAAACTCTTTAACTTGGGTAAGGGTATGACATATAACATGTGATCGAGAATTGTCGGAGATAAGGGATATAGTATCCAAAGTCTCGAGAAGAGTCTGGATTCCACCTAAGGAAGTGTCCTCACTATTATCCAAGTCATCAAAATCTTCAAGTTTAGGTTCATAGACTAGATCTTCTAACGGCTCCTCTATTACATTCTTTCGTTCTTTCATGACTAGGGTTCGATTAGGACATTTAGAAGAAATGTGACCAAAGTCTTTACAGTTGACGCACAGCAAGTGAGAAGAAGACCTTGGAGTTTCAAAAATTCTACTCTGATTTTTCAAAATTGGAGAACCATTAGAAGGGGGAGGTCCTAGAAGGGACTTAACGGGAGGAGGTGGAGCCAATGAAGCCAAATGATGAATATAAAAAATTTTACCCTTTTTTTTCAAAATTGGAGGAATATCAGATGGGGGAGGACCTAGAAGGGACTTAACAGGAGGAATTGGAGCCAATGACACCGAAGAATGATTGTCCATATGCTTTCTACATGGAAAAGAAGATCTTGGACTATCACGACCTTTACAATTATTTTTCCAAATAGGAGGAACATTAGACGGAGACGGTTTTATGATAGACTTATGATGAGGCGACGCTAATGAGATGGGTGAGCGACGATGACCACGCTTTTCATATGGAGTACTAATAATCAACTCATAATCTCGAGCTAAAGAGTAAGCGTGATCAAGAGTAGTGACACCTCGAAGGAAAAGCTCGCGCTTAAGATCATCTCTCAGACCTTGGCTAAACCTACTCAAAGTCGTGCTCTCATCCTCAATTAAATGACATTTGGTTCGAAATTCCTCAAATTGCGCGATATACTCAGTCACTAATTGATTTCCTTGTTTAAGGGCATTCCATTGAGTAAGAATTTCAAAATTATCTCGTTTTCGCTCACGAATCTGATCCATATTCCTATCCCTATCCTTCCGATCGGGTCGAAAGTATTTTTGATTACCTTGTCGACAATGTTGTCTATTATGGGACACCTTAGAATTATCAACATCAATCGAATGAGGGATGTGTTTAAAATTTTTCACACTAGCAGATAGGACCTTACTTTCTTCAAGAGTAGCGATCATTTGAGTTTGAATAGCCGTTATTTGTCGGGTGAGTGCATCGAATTGTGATGGGTTCATGTTTAAGGTACTAGAGCTAGAAGTGACAAGATGACCAATATGTAACTACATGCACAGTAATAGCAACTTAATGACATGCAATAGAGAGATCAACGAACAAAAAGTGCAAGTAATGGAAAATGAAAATTTGAGCTAATTTTTTTTTAAATTTAAATTTTGGGACTAAAATTATATACAACAAGCTAGTACTGCTGGTATATGTAAAATAATAAA